CGCCGCCGCCGGCGCCGCGCGGGGGACGCGGGTGACGGCGGGGAGGGGGGCGCGGGGGACGCCACCAGGTGGTCAGAGCCGTGCGAGGCGGGCGAGGGCGACCGAGACACGGGCGGCGGGGAGGGCGAGTTACGTTCCCAATCGCGAGGAGTTGCGGGAGATTGTTCTGTCTTTAATTTTCGCCGCCTCTTATATTTCCGTGGGCCCGTCTTCAAATAAAACAAATGTCACTTTAGTTATCACGTTTACAAAAACAATCATGTTTCATGACACTTGGTGGGACAGAATAGTTCTTGGCAAAATGTACATAGTTGCATACGCCTGTCTCTCATTAGAGTAAATAGACACAAAATTAGCAACAAATGAAATATTATCCTATCAGCATAAATTACAAATTGATAGTACTCACCTGTGGTTGCCTCTTGAGCGCAGTGTTTGCATCGCAGTGTTGTATGAGATGTTGAACGAGCTCTGCGCTGGAGTGTAGAGTGCGCCCACATACTACGCAACAATACGCGGGACCACCTGCCACATAACGACAAGATAATGATCGTGGCATGTTCAATGTTAAAGTGACGACAGCTACTGACACGTTAAAAATGTTAAACAAGAAATAAGACCGACACGATGACGTACCGTTGGCGCGTCGGTCGGGCGCGGAGTGGTGTGAGCGGACATGTTCCCGGAGCACGACTCGTTGGTTGAACGCGCGCGGACACACGGCGCACGCGTACGGCTTCTCTCCTGGAATTATAAAGTCCTCATTATTATCCGTGATTTTCATAATGTTTATCAGCAGCTGTAGCCAAATGCCATTTAGCGCTTGTTTACATGTAGAATAGAAAACCAAATTATATGAAATTGACGTAAATTTTGACACTTTTCAGTGTCATCCCAGTCTAACGCCACTTTAGCGCTTGTCTACAGAAAGAGTTGAAATCAAAATATATGGGGGTGGATATTTGGTTTTCTATTCTACATGTAGACAAGCGCTAAATGGCATTTGGCTACAGCTGCTGGTGTATTAAATTATCTACCAACTAGCTACTACCACACGGTTCCACCTGCTCGGTCGATAAATTGACTATCCAACAAACAAAAAAAATAATTTTTAAATCGGTCCACTACTTCCAAAGGTTGGAGCGTTCAAACCAACTCTTTAGCTTTATACATATAATATGTAATAATCTATATAAAAATTAAACCAGTTTCCCGTTGTCACGCTATAACTAGAGAACGGCTAGACCGATTTAGCTGATTTTTTTTTGTTGTGTTTGTTATCGTCATGATAAAGTACTTATGACAGAAAAATGTCCTGAAAATCCTACGGGAATGGGAGAAACGGGATTGCGCGTATGAAGTCGCGGGCAGAAGCTATTAAGATATAAGACAAAACATTTGGGTGATGCATAAAAGAATCAATAGGAGGTGCAATGTGTTAGTGTACCTGTATGTATTCTCTCGTGTTTCCGTAGAGTGCCGCCGTCTGCGAAGGCTTTCCAACAGAAACGACACGCGTACGGTCGTTCGCCGGTATGGATCCGGATGTGAATCTGTTGCGAACTCCGTGAACCAAAAACTTTGCCTGGACAAACCAATTTACAATTTATATGTAGCAGAAATTAGGCTTAAAATATACAAAAAATACACTAATTTGGTTGATTACATGGTTACATTAGAATAGTACTCACCACACACTCTACATGGGAATTGACGGGCAATATTCGATGACGCAGCATTATTTCGACCTCTAGACATTCTTTTTAATCTGTAACAAAGTCAACAATACATTTCGTATAACTTGGGGTAGCTAAATGATCAAAGTGAAGAATAGCTGCTTTAGGAAAGTGGTTGATATTCAGCAGTGGAGGTGATAAAATAACAGTCGAAATTAATAAACACATCTTAATCCAAAATCTCTGAATCTATTTGGGTTTCTGATAGAAATTTAGTACAACTAATATAAAAAAAAATCAGCTTTAGTGGACGCCTTCTGCCCCATCTAGGGGACACAGGATATAAAACCAAGTAAGTCAATATCAAAAATTAATCTCAATCCGGAGATTGGTTATTATTTGGTCCATAAAATGTAATATGTCTGCCGTGTACCTGGGCGCGGTGGAGGGCGCGCGATGTCTCTCGGCGTGTCCCTCGGCGTGCGCCAGTAGTTGCAGCGCGTCGGTGAACCCCTCGCCGCACACGTCGCACGTGTGCTCCGCCCACGTACTGCTCGAACTGTCGCAGTGGCGCTTGTAGCTGGGACAAGACAAACCTTCACTCAATATTTCCAGTCTTACTGGTTCAATCAAACGCTAGGTTGAACTTCATTAGGAATTTAATAAGGTGTAGTTGAACCTAGACAAGTGTTGAAATCTTGACCGACTAATTGGTACTATGTATCTATTATAAAGTATTGAACCATCAACCAGGTGCAGGTTAGCCAGTAAAAATGTTGTGTAAAACGATGACAATCCAAGTTGATGATAATTTCAAAAAAGGAGGTTATACATATATTATTTTTTCGCGATTACCTCATTGGTTGAGCAGTTTTCAGAAGCGTTTGTTCAGTATAATATGTTACCTGTGGGCGGCGGCTACGTGTCTCCTCAGTAGGTCTGCCCTTTGGAAGGCGACGCCACAGTCCTGACAGAATAGCTCGGGCCCTCGCATTGTATCGTACACTGCACGCTCGCCTCCGCCGTGGGACAGAGGAGACAAACGGAACTCCATATCGTCACCTAAACAATAGAAATTGATTGCTAATGTACAGCTTCCAACCTGATACGTTTTTACAAAATCATATAAGAAGTCGTTATTGTCACGTTGGTACGCCACCGTAAAATTAAACTGAAGCATGAATGACACGATTTTGAGACATTTCTTCAGCTTTATCTACATTATTTTCTATGCATACTCATTGACTAAGAGTAGCTAATGTTTTAAAGATGGTACTGATCTAGTCGACATAAAAAAGTAAACCAAACATAAACCAGTCTCTAGAGAATAATAAACTTAAATCAGTTTTACAAAAATGTTTCGTTATGGGATATGGAGGCAAATCAGTAAACGGACCACCTGATGGTAAGTAAGCCAGTTTTATGGTTAGTACATACCAGAGTCGGAGTCTTCGAAAGGTTGTTCCTGTTGTTCAGTCCGCGGCGGTAGATGTGGATGTCTCTGTTGCATGTGTGTGGCCAGTGCTTCCCTCGACCAACACAACTCGCCACATGACGAACATTCCACTGGCGAGTCACCGCCGTGGACCTGTAGCCATATACGCATATTAGTTTTCCAATAATTTGTCTCAAAGGCGTCTCTCATATCACGGCAAATTCATGGTGTGAAGCAAGTTGTAATTGTAATAAATAGATGGTAAGATTGATAAGTTAATGGTCCGTGATTGATGGTACCATTCAGTAGGTACTGAATTATAGTGAGGGAGGTATTGACAAAGAGTACAATACACTAACTGATTAATGTTTAGTAACTGGTGAGCAATTGTCTTTAATCATAAAAACATATTACATACGTTAAAATAAGAAGACATCTATACATAAACAAAAGGAAGAATATAATACACATTGACAAGTTTTCTACTTCACACAATGTAGACATTTTCAGATACCTACAAAATTAAATGTTATAGGAAATATTTACCCTGGCATGTGACTGTAGTGCTTTTTCCCTGGCAAAACCGACTCCACAGTGGCGACAGACGAAAGGTCGCGAGGGGTCCGTGGGGGGTGGCGGCGCCGGGGGCTCGGACGCAGGGGACGGGGGGGAGGGGGGCGGCCGCGCCGGGGACCGAGCGCGCCGCGACCATTGCTGCGTGCGCGCTGACGTCATGTTCTCCCACATACCATTCTGTATAAGACAAGCTTGGTTATAAAAGCTACAAAGTTTACTTAGCAGTTTGATAGAGTATGGTAATCCTGTGAGTTAAGGCGACTCTCTACTGTGTAAAGGCAGATCCACAGCGGCGCATTTTGGCTGAGCGGATTAATTTATTTGTTCGTGTTGGTTCTCGTTCCTACTGCTACCTAAGCACGAATATTAATCCACGACTGTACAGTGAAACTGGACGTTAATGATCACACTAAAAGACTTAGAATAACAACTACCAATACAATAACGACAGGTAGCAGATTTTGTGCATTACTTCATAAGTTTAATGTTAGCAACTCTAGATAAAGAAAACAATACCTCTTCTTCCACTGGCTCAGGATTCTTTTTCCGTCGGCCTCGTTTCTTCTTTGGTTTTACGATTTGGTTATTGTCTAGAACATCTTCTGTAACAATAAACAACAATTTGTTATTTAATTAAAATCCCACATGTACAGGTTATGAAATAGCAATATGATTTCCGACACTCAGCTCGAAGACTACCTAATAATGCGTCTTTTCTTTGACTATTTTTTCGTAACAATACACTACACTACCCCGTTAGATGACACTATCTGTCTCGCTCACACAATTGATACCTAGTCCTTTGATCCCTACAGGACAAAGGAGATGTTTCATTTTCGGCCATGACTTGTACAGTTACCGAGAAAGAGGAAAAAAAAAATACCACGAACCAAGGAAAAATAATATCTGGAGAATTTAGGCCTTAGACGTTGGGTACAAAAATATAATAATTTTTCTATAATTTTTTAATTGTTGTTGTCGACGGTGAATGCTCTGACTTGCTGAACGCAGGCGTCTCTTAAGGCTGCGTGCTGTCGCCTACATTGTTCCTCATTCATATCAATGACATGCTGCAAATCAGCGGCATTCATTGTTATGCGGATGACAGCACAGGCGATGCTTACTACACCGGCCGCGCTAATATTTCTCGAGAAAACATGTGTCTGAAATCGAGACCTCTTTAGGGAAAATCTGTGATTTCATTTGGTCCAATTTAACCCCACTAAGACACAGGTCTGCGTGTTTACCGCTAAGAAACTGCTGTTGGTCGTATCTCCTCAGTTTCAAAGCACCCCCTAACTGCCTCAGCTGGTATTGGAATACTTGGTGTCAGCATTTCGAGCGACGTCCAGTTTCGCGGCCATCTAGAGGATAAAGCCAAATTAGCCTCGAGGAAGCTTGGTGTGCTCAATACATCGAGGCTGTATTTCACCCCGACCCACCGCCTGCTTCTATATAAGGCGCAGGTTCAGCTTCACATGGAATACTGTTCTCATCTTTAGGCGGGGGCACACCAGTACCAGCTTCTTCCTCTGGATCGCGGCGTGCCGTTCGGATTGTTGGATGTCGGGATGTTTCAAACTGGCTAGACTCTTTGGCAATGCGTAGAGATGTAGCTTCGTTGTGCATTTTCAATCGCTTATACCACGGGAAGTGCTCTGAGGAATTGTTTGACCTGATACCTGCCGCATCTTTTCGTCATCGACCCTCACGATAGCATAATTATACATCCCCACCATATAGATGGTTTGCAGGCCACAACTGTGCGCTTCTCACGTAGCTTTCTGCCTCGCACAGCAAAACTGTGGAATGATCTGTCGTCGGCGGTATTTTCGAACCGATAAGACCTTCAAACCTTCAAGAAAAGAGTGTATCCCTTTTTAAAAGGTCGGCAACGCACCTGTGACTCCTCTGGTGTTGCGGGTGTCCATGGACGGCGCTGATCGCTTACCGTCTGGTGATCTATCTGCTCGTTTGTCTCCTACTCCATAAAAAAATACCAATATATAATTAATAAATACAAGACAAACATAGCTAATTTTCTATGACATTAATTAATAAGACTGTTTTTCATAACACTGGTAAGTTCAGATTCTGATGTATTGACATTGAATGAAACGCATCTGTCATCATGGCTGTCATAACTCGTATGATAAACATCAAATATTTTTAATTAGGGTTCCGTACCTCAAAAGGAAAAAACGGAACCCTTATAGGATCACTTTTTTTATTTTGTACCCAATGAATACTCAAAAGTAGGATAAAAATGTTGCGTTATTCCATGAGTGGCTTCTTTCCTACCTTATCTATTATCTACATGTTATGGCCGGAGTCTCATACAAAGTGAAACATCTCCTATACAAACAAAATTACTATTTATTAAATAAATTATTAAGTATTTATACTAGAAGCTATGAAAGACGATGCAAGGCGGCTTATAGTTTCTGTTCACCCGTGTGGAGCAAAAAAAAACGAGTGTCTAATTGTGTATCGTTATAGACTCACCATAATCTATGGAATCGGGGTTATCAGGCACATAGGCGTGGACTTTGAGATGGTTCATGAGATCGCACTTGCGTACATAGCGCACGCCGCATAGATTGCAGGCGTGCGGTCGATCATTCTGATGAGCAACCATGTGGTTCATTAATGCGGCCTTCTTACGGAACCTCCGTGAACAGAAGTCGCACGGCCACGGCCGCATCGCTGTGTATTCATCCTGTAGATAAAAAAAAAACTTTATAAAGTGTGTGCTTGAATGGAACCTTCATTTATCTACACATATTTAACTAATGATAATGTTGATGATGTCATGTGTGAAGCTGTCCAAATTTAATTAATTGTCATAGCAGTTATTGCAAATAAAAAAGTGTACGGTTGCATCTTTTACCTGGTCTGTTGGCAAGGGAACATCAAGTTCATTTTCTTCTTTTAATACCAAATCAGGGTGATTTAAATGATCCATAGGAACTTCAACTCTGAAATAAATAAAAAAGAAACATGGTTACAAGGCTTTATGGGAAAAAGTTTAGGTTATTAAAAAAATAAAATAAAAACAATGAAAAGTTCAGCTTACTGGTACCTTTCTTGACCACCAGGTATCACCCAATCATCTGTGATAACTTCTTCAGTGACACACTCTACACTGGGATCATCAGCTAGTTCAGCTGTCTCCGTGTAACTGACTACATCTTGAGATAAAAACATTAAGTTTTCCGCTGCCATTTGGTCCGTACTCATCATTTCTTCAGATGTCTGCGGATATATCTGATTTTCAACTTTCAACTGGTAACAGAAATTATTCATTAACAAAAAAACCTAAATTATTATATATTCTACTTTATTCAGACATTATAGGTACTTATCAAATGACAATGACCAAAGTATGGAGAGTAGTGTGGAATAACTGATGCCGAATAACATTAAAACAAAACAATATAATATGGGGTCTTATATAAAAAACTCTGTCCGAACTGAGGTAAGTCAGTTCAAAATACTGCTATATTATTTATGTAATTGTTTTGATGATGACCGTACACAATGCATATTTCTTCATTTACTTATAAGAAACATTTTGAAATACATATTTATAAACGATTTCAAGGAATACATCAAAGCTGAACGTTTTTACGTACTTTTTTGTTTTTTAATTCTTTTATAATGCCACGAAACCAGAACAGAGTATGTCTAAATAAATAATACATTATCAAGCCACTGCACAAAGAAAAAAATATATTTCGCTTGATTGGTTACCATCTTCAGTTTATAATGTATACGGTTACTTGACTTTTTTATGATTAATTTCCTCTCAGTCGAGATCCTGCAAAATACTCCACCGAGCCCTATCGTGAAATGCAATTTTTGTCAACTGCGACTTCAGTAGCGGCATTAATATTGACTATTTAGGCAATGCCCTTTATAATACAATTAACATAACAAATAATAGAACAATACATTGTAGGCTAAATAAAAGATTGTTGTATTATACCATAGCACATAGTATCTCACCGAGCCAAAATGTGTGTGTTGCATGCTTTCTAGACCTGTAATCACTTCTTCCGTTCCACCGACACCAGGGCCTGGCTGGAAAGCAAACATTTTCTTCAGTGTTGAAGAAAATAAGAAAATCATAAGAAGAAAATAATAGAGAAGAATATTTATTACATTGCATGCACATTTTTAAAGAAACATTGGCATGCATATACCAGTAAAAAAAGTATTTAATTTGATTTGGCAGTGTTAATAAATTTGATAAGAATATGTATGTATGAACATGCAAAGAGGCACTACAACTACCTACCTACTACCTAAATGTAAGTAAAATATTTTTTGACAAACAATCAATGGTATATTTAGTTAGGATCCATACCTATTCTAATTTTTGTGTTACAAGTATTTTAAAAATAAATTATGTTATGGTATTATGCCCATCAATACTTTTATGCAATAATTTAACATTGCTTTTTAACCCCTGTTTACAAGAATCACACTTAGTTGTTTGTCTGTTAATACTACTGAACGGATTTTGACGAAATTTGGTATCCAGGCAGGGTATGGGATGACTTAGGTGATAGGATTTTTGTCTCGATTAAATGCTTCTATGGGATAAAACATGAATCATATTATATACACGGACGAAGTCGTGGGCAACAGTTAGTTTGTACAATATAAATGCAAATATGAAATTTGATGTTCGACGATTAAAAAAAAACACATGCAAAACATTAACAGAAAATAAGTAACAAAAAGTGAGATTCAAAGGTCATGTAGGTATGATAATAAGGTTGCATGGTATTTTAGTATTTTACGGTCTAATTAAATAGGAATAATTAAACTATTTTTAGTAAGAAACTGTTAACTTGGCAAATCTAATGTCCAAATCCTCAAATGCTCCTCATTTTAAGCCACACTTGAGTAAGCTCTGTCATTAAATTTTATTTGTAAAATGACATGGAATGATAAACTACTTAATTGAGTAGCCTTTCAGTATTTGAGCATAAGGCTTTTATATTTAGTAGACTCATATTTTAATCAAGAAAATCAAACAATATCAAAAGCATTCGAAAATAGATAAAACCTGTTTTTTCTTTACCTTTACTTCAACTTCTTCCTCCCACTGGAGGTTGAAGTCTTCAGCTTCCCCATCCATATTGAACTGCTAATTTCACTCCATTGGCAGCTTTCTGGGTCCAGGAAATACCTGCAAATAAATATGTGTTACTTCTACAAAATATAGAAAATAGTTATTACGTCACCCCAATGAGCGAGCCTGCTTACTAAACCTAAACTACCATGAGTTTTTGTTCTTTGCAATCGCTATATAATACTCTTTTTGGCGTCATCATCATCAATATGCACACATCACAAAGCTAAAATTGGTAAATGTACTAAATGCATGAAGCTTGAATAATATGTACCAATGATAATTAGACAAAGAAACTAAGCAGGTACAGAAGAATGCAACTACAGAACAGACAAGGAGCTGGAGCTATTTTGAGAGCCGATATCTCAATGGAGCTATGCTCAGCCAGTCTGAATTATTCACGTAACATATAATTTGCTAGAAGTCCTTGTGGACTGTTGCAGAGAAAAATAAAAAAAGATGTGTTACTAGATTTTTTTTGCACAGTAAATTATATTGCACAGCAATTTGACCAACGGTCTATAATCATGGGTGCTAATGTGGATCTTTAAGGGGACAAGCACTAAACAAACTGATTGAATCAGTCAAATATGGCACTTTAAATCTAGTCAGTAACGGAGTTTTTGACTTATTCAGATTACTTTTACAGTCATATGTATAAGCTCTATTTAGAAGAGCTCAATTAGGCAGAATCATGTACAAATTTATTTATATTAGAAGTACCTGGTTTTTGACTGTGAATAACATTTGTTTTAAATACATTAATTAAGACCATTTGCATGACAACACTTTGAATGTATGTAAGTGATAAGAAATATGGATTATTTACAGGTTTATAAGTACTGAATTAAGTTTTTGACATAATTTTATAACTTGAAAAAACTATAATAAATGGCAACAACTAGTATTTTACTAATACAAAGAAAGTACCTAAGTTAATTAATATTAATAATTTATTAACTAACAAATACCTAGTTACAATTGCACACAGCGGACACGAAAAAACTCGTAATCTTAGTTATATGGTTGAAAATATTGATAATGAGAAAATAGCCGATTACATTCTTGTCATCATTTTTGATACATCGTAAAACATCCTTGAATCAAAACATCAACATAACCTTATCATTTGGTTACATTTCATAAAACTACGTATAAATGTATTATACAAAACCGCCAAACGTTGGCAATAAAATATTCACCACTGTAAAAGTAAGTTCTAATAATAAAGCCTGAAAGCCGAAACAAAAATGGTGTCAACTTGGTTGTAAAGATGTAAAAAACGGTTAGGTTATCCTGTCAAAGTAGAAGGTTAGATAGAGTAATCATTAAACCTTTAATTATTAATGAGATGGTTAAAAATAACATTTCCATGGTAAGAAATAACACGTTCAACACGATAATCATAGCTATTTTACATATCTATACGTTTACGTGACGCAATCATAGAACTTATCGATAGTTCATCATCGATGAAAACAATAATATAACCAAAGTCATTACATTTTTTTGGAATTACCTCACCTGGATATTGTCTAATATTCACAGATTAATCGTTTTAAGCTAAAAATTGGACACGTAAAGCCAATATTTTCTATTGTTTGGTTATCAGACAAATGGCTATCTTCCATTTCCATTCCAACCCTACCATAGACAAAGAAACGCTCACTTCGAGTCATTCAAAGATTCCAACGAAATCACAAAATTACAGTCGAACATAATTATCTTGTATATTTATACCAAAGATTAATCACAAAATTAAGTGATTAAATGCGTGATAAAATAATAACATTTATTAGCAAATTCAGGTTATAAGGCATATTAGACAACATAACCTTTATGGTTTGTTTAGTATTAGTTAAAGTGGTTGGTAAGCAAAACGTAATGATTGATTCAATGTTTTATCACAACGACTCGTTTTTTGGATGGTTTCTAAGTATATTGCTAGTATAAATATATCTCTATCTCATAATATTAACGAAACCTTCATCATCATCACCACCAGTTCGTGTTCGTGTAAACAAAGCCTTACGTCATTAAATGACGTTCACATTCACTGCCAAAGTGCCAACTGTCAGCCCTGCCAGCAATATGACAGAAACTGATTGTATGATTTCGTGTACAAGTTGTTTATTTATCTCTTAAAAAGTACTTTTGGATTATTAAAAATGGCACAAGAATTAAAAGAACTGTGTCAACTTCTATTCCCTGACTCTGCGGAAGGTAGTGGAATTTTTTTCGTATTTTTGCTTATGATGTGTTCATGTATAATGCATGTCCGCTTATATGTTACAAACCGGGACTAAGTTAAAGAAAATTCCTTTACGCCTGTATTCCTTGATATTGTTTAGAAATTACCTAACAATCACGCCGTTTTCATCCCCGACGGTTTAGGCAGAAGTTCATTAAGTTCAATGCAACAACCGCTCGTCACCAGTAATGCAAATGGAACTTGATATCCCTTGTTTGGAAGTTGCGCAGGTTGCGCTTATGACTACACTTTAAACCTTGTCTTTTTCATATAATCTTTTTGGATTGAAGCTAAGCAGACAGACAGCCATTTAACAAACAAACCTTATAAATACCTTATTACAATACTTGTACAGAATATTATTTGTAGTGTTTATTTTTATTACAGAGAATGCAGAATACTTCAGCGATGTTACAGATTATATAAAAAAATTGGGGTCACAAAATTGGGAACACATTCGTAAGGAGCCAGAGAGATTGACCGAAGAGATGAAACAGTTGACGGAACAGACACAAGAGCTTGCTTTCACTAATTACAAGACATTTGTGGAAACAGCTGAGATATCACACACAATCATAAATGACTTAGCAAAGTCAAAAGATTCACTTTCATCATTCCTGGACAATACACCAATATTCTTACAAGAATGTGACAAGTTTTCGCAAATTGCTGGTAATATTGTTAAAGAGAAGAGGTAACAATATTTCATTTATTTGTTAATATATGGAGAATTTATTTTATTTGCATATAATAAAAATATTGTTTAAATTTTCCAGCCGCTACAGCACTATTCGTAACCAAAGTGACAAGTTGCTCGAATTATTGGAACTGCCGTCTCTTATGCGTGAGGCATTGAATGCTGAAGATTATGAGAGTGCTTTAGACATTTTCACATTTGTCCGTAACCTTTCCAAGAGGTACTCAGAAATACCAGTTGTACAGGTATACTCAAATTAATTGTATTTATTGCTCCAGTCAACTTCTTGTGCTGGAAATTTTATGTTTTCATTCCTTACATTTGTTTACAGAATACTACATCTGAGATTATGACCCTGTGGTTTGAGACTCTTTATCACCTTTTCAACCAATTGAGATATGATTTGCCCTTACCTCAATGTTTGCAAGTAAGTGTTGAAACGGTTCAAATATATTAATTGATAGCTTGTGGTATGTGTACAAATAATATCCTATTGTTTTTATTCATCTTATAGATTTTGGGTTATTTACGCAGAGCAAACACAGTGTACAGATCAACAGATGAAGATGAAAGCAGTTTATATTCAGGGAGCAATAAAAACACAGCTAGTGCTGATGGGCTGCATGTGCACTTCTTGAAAGCCAGAAATGCTTGGTTCGAAAAAGCTTTAGAAGATGCTAAGAATACAGAAGGTAAGTTGTTTAATGAATGTTTAATTTAATGAGTCATAAAATCTATGTTGAATATTTATAAAACATTGTATTTAATTGCAGCAGCAGACAGATTATTAAGAAGAATCATAGAACTACACAGAATTCATCTGTTCAATGTTCTAACACAGCACAAGTCAATATTCTTGTCAGATTCCCAAGAGGCTAAAATTAGAGATGATGAATTGAGTGGCACTAGCGCCTTATCTTGCTGGTTGAAATTAAAGGTACTTTTCTAGTTGTAGTTTCCACAAATAAACATGTACTGCTTTACCAACAACAATTTCTATCACTATATTGTTAACATTTCAGGTTGAAACATTGGCGCAAATATTGAACCAAGATTTACCAAAGGAAGATGAAGCCAGTTTTGAGTCCCTTTTAAATCAATGCATGTATCTCTGCTTATCATTTGGAAGAGTTGGGGCAGATATGAGATGTGTTCTGACACCACTGTTTCGCAATAACATTCTTACGCAGTTTCATAGTGGACTGGAGAAGGCAGACAATCAGTTTGAAGCACAGATGCGAACATACAAAGTGCCAAGCATAAAGAATGTGCCTCGACCCATAAATGAAACTGTAACAACAGGACCACCAGAGAACTTGCTTGATTACTATCCTCTGGCTGAATATTGCAATGGCATGCTATCAGTATTAAACTCAATGAGAGTTACAGCACCATTGAATATAGTGAAGGAAGTGTACAATTCATTTAGAGAATCATTCAACAAGGCTGTTCAAGTATTACTTGCCTTCTACTATAGAGAACAGCAAAGCTTTACTGATACTGAGAAGCAGAACTTTATGTCCCTATGTGTTTGTTTTACTGAAGACTTGGTGCCATATATCGCGAAGTGTCTGGCGCAATCTTTTCCTTCTACTCAAGTAGCAGAGCTACTAGGTGTCACACTAACTGTTCTACAAGAAAGCAACATTCTTCAAGTTGATCAGAATGCCATCTGTGAACCTTTAAATTTCATTACAGGTGTAACAGTTAATTAAATCATTTATAATTAGCCATAGTAAGTTATTATTTCAAGTGCTAATTAATATACAAATATTATTTTATGTTATCCAAACTTTTATGCAAAGACATGTTAAAATAAATAGAAAAACAATTATTAATAAATGTTTTTATTATCTTTATAAAAAAAATATAACATTATAATTATAAAATGAAATAAGGCACTGCCTCTTAACAACTACAGAAACTTAGGAATGATTACAATACTTCTCTTACATTTAGTAACAAGAAAATTATGTAAACTTAACTCTCTTTATTCTAGACTTACCTTCATCATTTCTAGATACTTCAAAGAAATGTGTTACCTTATCTATCTGTCCTAGAGACTCAATAAATTCCCTATCGTGAGTAATGATAATGAACATGAAATTCTTTTGCATCATTCGTTCCTGAACGATTTCACCGAGGGCCATGCAAAGACTTTTGATGTTATCTTGATCTAAATTTGTTGTGGGTTCGTCTAAAGCTAACACTCCGAATCTGAAAGAAAGTAAATACGACACTTATTATTTTGTCAACAAATAATATTGAAAGCATTTTTACTGATATGTAACAAGAACAACAGTGCAGCAGACAAAGTCATGCCCACTTACCTAGAACTGAATGTTTCCGCGAGAGCCAATCTAATGATAAGACAGGCCAAGACTTTCTGACCAGCACTACATCTACCGCGCATGTCGATTTCAACGCCATTTTTACATTGGACCACTCTGAAAGTATTTTAATGGATTTATGTTTTATTTTGACTAGTGTTACTTCTAAGTAAAATAATTTCAATCATCATGTATAAGCAGAATGACTATAATCAATGTTCCCTCACCTGTATTCATATTTACGCCGTTCTAAATTATCTGACATGCTTCCTTCAGCTTTGATAGCTATGTAATCTATATCATTACCACTGTAAATTTTGCTCCAAAGCTCCCTGAAGAAAAGATTAAGAAAGATTTAAAAAAAAAGTAGTTTTACTTGTAACAGATTATATATATTTTTTAAAAAAATTGAAACACCTTTTATATCAATAGTACATACTTGATGATAAGATTGATGCTCTCCATTTTCTTCTTGTGATACTCCATAAGACAAGTCTCTAACGCAGCAGCATAATCCTTGACATCCTTGTCCAGCATTTTTGTTACTTGCAACTCAAAATATTTTTCTCTATATTTCTTCTCCGTATTTTTTGCTAAAGCAGTTTTAAGATCTACCTTGTTCTTTTTTAATGTAGTCTGTAATTTTACAAGATGAATGAAAATATAGTTCATAGATTTTATGTTTAAAATAAACAATTATAATGTTTATACATACCTGCAGTTCATCCAATATACCATCAGTTTTAAACTTTTCGCTGCATAGCTTCTTATATTTGTCCGTCAAGCCATTCTTTTCTTTCAACATATCTCTGTTGATTGTACTTAGCTTTTCTTTGATATCAGCCTCTTCCTTTTCACAGTCTTGAGTTTCTTTCTGTACTTCTCTTAGTTTTAAATTGTCGTCTAATTCACGTTTATAGATCTGGAAAGAAGAAAAATGTATATTTGAAGACAACCAACAAAACCTACTTTTGACTGGCTACAAGGCTTTTTGCTCTTCAATCGCGCTTGCGACGACTCGACGTTATTTGTTTCTTTTACTACTCGTACCTTTTCTTTGCTAATTTCATCTTTTAATGTCTCGATCCTCTTTGTAGTTGCTTGTCTGTCACACTGAATCTGCTTCAGTTTATCTTCAAGTTTCTTAATCGCTTCTTCCTTCTTCGCCTTTTCATGTGGAATATTTCTCTCTAAATGTTGTCTGATATCAATGTCAATTGACTTTACTTTGTCAAAAGCTATTGTGATTTTCATTATTTCATTGTTCTTGTGCTCAATCTTTTCTCTGAAAAATTACATAATTATATTTGGTTTGATTTAAAATTCTGATTCATTAGAATTACATACTCTCCTTAAATGCAGTGCTTGCGATCAATCAATGGACAAAACAAAAAATCAAACAAGTAATTACTATTCTCTACTAAAAACAGTGTGGATAGGTACATACGAAATAGATATAAGCCTCAACCAAAAACTCTAAACTTTAATGAAAACTGATGTCAAACACCACAAGGACACCGGTGTCCGCACACATATTGTTCTTTAATTGTGTCTATAATGACGGTACTCAAAGGGAATGTCTATATTACCTGTTTTTCTTAACAACCTCTGCTTTAGCTTGTTCTTTTTCTTTAAGCGCTTCTCTAAGAGGTTCAACTCCTTTCCTCAGATCAGCTAGCTCTGTTACAAACCTCTCCCTGTCAGCTTCTAATTGTTTTTTAGTTTCTTGAAGATTGTATATCTCTTGAACCTGTCAACATTCCAAGTTAGTACTGCCAGAATATTTTTCTTATAAATGCCCAAGAAAACGTTTTCTTACCTTCTTCTGCAAATTAAGACATTCTTCTTTAATTTTATTTTTCTTTGAACCTAATTCTTGTATCCTCTTGTTGTGCGCATTGAGTGTCTTTTGTGCAGTTTTAAGTTTAGCTTTCAAACTTGATATCTTCTGCTTTAACTCTGCTTGCTTAGCAGTAGCTTCTTCTAACGTCATATCCGTATCTACTTCGGAACATTGCGCATTTATTGCTTCAAACTGAAAACAACAACAAATATTTTACATATTACATACTGATTTCATGTTATAAATGTATTTGATTTGATGGACAATTTCACAAAGCTTACCTCTTTGGTCAAAGTTTTAACTTCTTGGTTGCACCGGTCAAGTAAAGGCATTTCTCCTTGAATTTGCTTTATGGTTTGTAACTTTTGTTCTGGTTCTAAGAGAGACATGGATATGCCATCTACTTCTTCCGTCAGTTTGTTAATGTTCTAGAAATTAAGATATTATTAAACGCATGCAATTTTTATTATGATTGTGCTTCCAAAACTTATTTTTGCCTGATATTTACTTACTGTCTCTAGGTCAGCAATACGTTGATCTAGTTGTGGTTTGTCCTTCTCTTTGAAGTTTTTAATTTTTTCGTTCAGAGACTTCATACTCAGAAGTTCATCTTTCTTAGCAGATTCTACTTGCAACTCCTCAGCTACTTTCTTAAGTTGATCAGGAACATTCATAATTTTCGTGTTCAGCTGAGTTATCAAATCTGTCACCTAGAAATTATATGTAATGTTAAACCTAGAAATTATATGATTTAGTTAATAAATAACGATTTTGTTCAAATACATACCTCACTTTCAGAGTCGAATCCACGACTGCACAAAGGACAACAACTGTTATCTTTCAGTTGAGACTCGTATTTTTTGATGACAAACATAGAAGATTCGAGAACATTGCGATCTTCCTGTAACATTTAAAAGAAAACTAAACTTATACAATTATCCAGTACATTAGTACAGTAAATAGAAAAAATATATACAAAAATAGAACAAACCTGTAACTTTTCTACATTGGCGATAACTTTGTTCAATGTATTTTCGTAAGTAGATGTTCCACAAGCTTTGTACATTTGTTCTTCAGCTTCCAATTGTTCTTTGTTTCGTTCCATTAAAGTATTACGAACATGCTTCCGTTCTTCTTCAAGCTTAGTTACCTAATTCAAAGAAACAAAATGATGTATTTTTATTTCAACTAAAGTTGGCCCAAATATCGAGCCTTGGGGAATCCCTTAGGTAGTTTCAAAACTGATAGATTTTCGATGATAATTTTGATGTGATATAATGCCTTAATGACACCAAAACTATAAAAAGACATAAACATAAATACTACAAAATTATTGCAAGAATGTCTAGAAAGTAAAATTTACAAGCCTTACCAAATGCTTTACAAGAAACATAAATGTGTATGTTAGGTTCATAAGATGATGGTTGACAATAATCTAAAAAAATATCAAACTTACTTGTGTCTGTTTCTTATTCAAATTTTTCTTCAAAGAATTGACTTCAGAATTTAAGCTGGACTCTAGCTTTTTGAGAGACAAGACGAAATCTTTCTCTGGCATATTACCCAACAGTTCTGTCAGGGCTGACCTGTGTTTGTTTTTTAGTGTGGAAAATTGTTTATCTTTTTGCTTCAGCAAATCTTCTTTCATCTCACGCTCTTTCAATTTAGCAGTTTGTTTTTGTAATTTTGTAATCTAAAAATAGAAACGTAATGCCACCGATTTTAAAAGATTCACATAAATTTTAAAATTATTATTTATTTAAATTTTAGTTACCTTTTTGTCAATTACATCGAGTTCGTCATCATTCTTTTCTAGTTCTTTTTCATCTTCATTAATTTGATGTTGATGTTCTTCAGTATTCAATTGCTTTTCTACATTTTCAAATTCCCTGTGAAAAAAAAATAAAGTAAGAATGAAATAAGAATACGGCAGCTATGAATAAGCAGTAGCACTCCTAAACACTTACTCTTCAGCAGTTTTCAATTTTATTTCTGCAGCTTCCAGGCGCACTTTAGATTCGTTAGCTGCAAGAATCTCTTTCTCTAACTTAGTAACTTCTTTCTTGTTCTTCTCAATATCATTCTCTTTGTTTGATATTTGTTGATTGTGGCGAGACTGAAATGCAAATACGAACATGATTTACTTTCTACGCCTTTTCTTTTTATTATGTTTAATCACATTACAAAAGGTATACTTACAAGAGCTACACGGCTCTCATCAACTATTGTTTGCTTCTGCTTTTCTTCTTTGTCTGCAAATGACTTTAATTCATCAAGTTCCTGTTGCAGACCTTTCACTTTTTGTTTGATTTTATTCATTGCTTGATCTGCTTCTTCAGTAGTTTCAACAGTAACAATATCATCAATTTCTGAAAATATATACATATATTATGCATTTGTGAAGTAATAAACTTTTTAACGAGGATCTTTGCTTTTATGATTAACATTTTATTCTTACCAGCCAATTTCGCGACATTTACAATTAATTCATTTCGCTCCAACACTTTTTTATCATTTTGGCTGTCTAACAAGAGTAGTTTTTCAAGTCTAGACTTATTTGCATCCTTTTCATTGGCAACCCTTTGTTCTTCATTATTGAAATTAGATATTTTTGTGTATGATTCTTCAAGTTCTTTTTGGTTGGCTTTCACAGTACTTTCATAGTTGCCTGAAACGTGATTTATTATGGATTATGTTTCTGCATTAAAGATTGTACTATCACCATTAATTATATGTGTCTTACTAATTTTCTCCTTTAATTCTGGTACTGTTCCTTCAAATACATTCTTTATTTCTTTTTTTAACTCTTGTTCTCGTTTATGGCAGTTATCCAATCTGAAATACATCACACACAGGAATATTAGATTGTTGATAATGATATGATGGTTTAACTTATCAAAACATATTATGAGGCAGTTGTCACCCAGTCACAGGGTCTCACTACACAATGTTGATTGGTGGATAACTTGTTTTAAATAAATAACATACTTCACTTTTAATTTTTCTAGTTTTGAATCATATGTATTTAGTGTAGTTTCCAAAGCTTTGATTGTCTGCAATTTTTCTTCAATAGGTTTTATATCACTTGTTATTTCAGCAAGTTTTAATTCAGTTTCAGAGATTCTTGTTTCTGTGTTGACTACATCTAGTTTCTTTTTATCCAATTCCTTCTTTTGTTCTTCTAGTACTTCAACTCTATCAGCTAGAAACAAAACAGAGGTATTAATATATCAGTTAGGTATTTATTTTCTGAAACTTGCTAAGGAAATGTCTTATACACAGAGTTATTATAACACAAGAAAAATATATAACTCACCAAGAATTTTAATATCAGTGGCAAAAGCTTTTCGAATTTTCTTAAGACGGTCAAAACAATTGCTGTATTTTTCAGAGTCAAATATCTCATCAAATCGTTCTTTAACTTTTTTGCCTTCATCTAATGGCCAACTTGATTCTTCTTGATGGCAGAATATGACTGTGTTCAAAATTGCCTTCGACACACCTGGAAAGCAAATCACACTAATAATTTTGATCCCGGATATTTTAATAAATTAGATACAAATACTTATATTATTCTTAGACATAAAAATACTATTAACCAATAAGAATAAGTTTGTATTAATTATGTTACCTGTGGTAAGTCTGTCCATAATACTGAGCATTATGTAAATGCCCCAATATGAATGGAAATGCATGTGATGAAAGAATTTAAAAAGAAATGAATTAATGAATGAATCATAGATTTTCGAGTTGTGATTTGAGAATTTGAAAATGAAATATGAGTATTGATGATAAATAAACATTGAATCTGTGTTATCTATGTTCAGTATAGTAAAATTATATTATATTTACCCAGCTCATCATGAAGAACTGCATCTAAATCAGCACATTTTTTTGATATATCCTTTGTTTTCCCAGTCTCATTAGTAACTGTTTTTTTAGAGTCTAGAGTACGAAACGTAGCCTTCTTCTTTTGTAAAACAACCTTCATGGATCTTGTAACCTCCATGTTTTTATTTTGAGCATTTGCTAACTGAAACATTCACATTTATTAAATACTATCATTGTCTCATTTGGAGCCTGATTAAATAACCTATATCATTGTTTAAAAGTAAAATTGGTTACCTTTAGCTTTATTTGCGCCAGAACTTCGGTAGTTCTGTTAACTTTAGGATCATGAACAAAGCAATCGCTATGACCCATCCCTGGAGGCATTTGCGATGTAATAGCATAACGCAAAGCTTCGATGATAGTTGTTTTACCACATCCATTTTGTCCCAATATCAGTGTTAGAGGGCTTTCAAACAGTATTCCCTGTTCATCAGAATCTTCCGGTCCAAAACTTCGAATGCCTCGTATCATTAAAGATTTAACAACCGCCATTGTGATTGTTCACGTGTTTATAATGTAACGAGATGTAATTTCTTGCCAAATCAAGATTTTAGCGCCGCATAAAGCGGCAAGCGGCAAAAAGGATATTTCCAATCACAGACGCCGACGACAGGTTATTTGCACTAGCATCAACTGTAAATAAATTGACATTTACGATTTGAAACTTGAAAGATTTTACATTCCTGTCACTGTCTATAACTATACGGTTTATTACCTTTTACAATTATTGTCCTTTTATTTAATATCATTATAAAATAAAATATTTACATTTATTTAATAACGGCTCCGTAATTTTTTAGGATTTATAGTAACATTTCTTATTGTTTCAGTTTTTATATTTTCCTGACCTTGCGACGCGTCTGACTGCTATAGTCTATGCGCGTCCATTCGTTAGTTTGTCATTGAATCTCAAGTCTTCATCTTCTGTCATTGTTTGTCAGTCAATGCAATGAATTATTTATTTTGTAAAATCTAAGTTTAATCGTTATTAATATCATTTTCCTATGAATTACTGAGTGAGTTTTTTTTAATAATATTTTTATAGATATTGTTTTTATTATTTGTTTTTTTTTTTCATTATTGCATTGATATCTTTAATAGAAGAAATCTTTTTTTTACATCGGAGCTTTCTGTGGTTTTTAAATTAGTTCATGTACCTATGTGCAAAATATTTCAATTATTTGTTTATTGTGCTGTAGTATTGTATTGTTATATCAACGTTATGTCAGTATTAGTAGTCTCCATGTGCTCATTTGTGTGTAGTTACAATAATGCTGTGTTTTAGGTCTTTTATTTATCTAATATCGTAATAGTTATGTGAAGACACAAGATTTTAGCCTGTAATTAATGCATATTATTCGATTTATATGACTTAACATTAAAAAAAAATAGTTTTAAGACATTATGGAATTGTCACCATATGTTTTGTTATGAAATGTAAATTATTATACCAGTTCTGATTCTGAGTCACATCTTATTTAGTATTGGTCAAGGCCAGACCAGTTTTTAATGAAATAACATCAATACGGTCATTGGCAATTTTACCTACATTTTCTTTATGTCATCAGTGGCCTAGAACCAAATTTTTATTTTTAATAATAACAACTATAATAGGTATAAACAAGAAATGTAATCATGTTGTGTGCAATCAGTCATCATTATGTTTAAGTTATTTCATACATCTCAAAGTTTTAAGGAGTGGTCTAGAAATTAATCATTTTATTATTGACTCTATTGTAACTGTATAGATAAATTATCTAGTTTAACTAGTACTTGAAAGATTAAATTCCACATTGAATAAAATTGTCCTTGCACTGGAAAGTGCTGGCATAACTTATACATAAAAAAGCAAGTATAAAACACAGGATTCTAAATCTATTTAAAAGAAACTGGTAATATTGTTGTAAGGTCAGATTGCAACAAAAAGACTGACCTCATATTTATTTATTACATTAAACAAGCGTTACTAAATTCACAATCAATTACTAATTAAATACATAAATAACCTGCCGCTCTCCCATGGTCTTCCAAGCAGATACTATGGAACACTAATTCCTTATATTAAGACTATGACTGCCAATAAAAAATTGTTGAAGGTAAATCCTCCGCTAACGCCGGTCACCGGTGACCCCCATGGCGTTCAACGTGTTAAAAACCTTGTAAAATGTTATAATTAATTTGAATATTAATATCTAAGTTTAGTCCAATAAAAAAGTATTCTGAATAGAAGTAATTCTACAATTAAATGTTAATAATGACTAAGAAATAAATAAGCTAAGTAAAACTATACAAGCACACAGATAAGAACATGAAAATGTTATAATGCATCAAGTATTTCACAAAGTTGTTGATTTTACTACACATACACTGCAAACAATGAACAATACTTTGTAGTCTTTGTACTTATCAACAAGGAGGTAATAATAGTAGTTTGTCATCATCTGTGGTGAATACAAGGTGGAACAGAGTAAAAATAATGGAACAAAATTTTAAATCCAAAAATAAAGTGACCTTTAATAATATGATATTCAGAACCCGATTGTGTTTTCCATGTCAAAGCATTTACCTATTTCAAATGAATTTTAAAGCTATTTTCCTGATATTTTATTTTTGTAATAAAGTTTATTGTTATCTAGAACAGATACTTGAAATTAATAATTAATAAGTGAATTTAATCATTGAATACTGTAATTTCCTGCATTTATTTTTAAACTTGTTTTTTTTGCAGGTATAACTTTATTTAACAATGGCTTCGACTACAGTAATTGAGACTGTGACTATAACAAGACCACTAAAGGTAAGACTAGTATAGTTTTCTATATTTTTATTTTTTATTTTTTTAGCTACAGGAATCTGTGGGTTCCTAGCTTTACTTAGAGAATTTTATTTTTAGTTTTTTTCTATTATAGTGTATATTATTATGTGTCTCCATGTCTCTATGTCTTTAGTTTAAACAAATAAAAAAAACAATACATTGCAGTCATTTTGATTAGACATGACACATATTAAATATATTTTGGCGGGAAATTTAAAAGGTGAGAATTTAACAAGCAGAAAAATTTGCATGAAAGTTGATACAGTAAATTAATACTTATTTATATAATCCATAAGAGACATAATACCATACTTCGATGACAATAAGCGGAGCAGCTATGACCTTAGCTCTTGTGGTTTCTGAAGTATGTCATGTGTTAATGATAGTCTGTTTATTATAATAGTTAATTATATTTTTTTTTTTTTTTTTTTGAAAAAACGTTGCCCCACACTAGGATTTTCTCCTGTGCCGTGGGTGCGTTTACAAACATACAAGTTCACATACACAATGACACCTAGACCCGGAACAACAATTTGTGGATCACACAAAGTGTTGTTCCATGCGGGAATCGAACCCGCGACACGTTGCACGGCAGCCGGTTGCCCAGCCACCGCACCAACCGTGCAGTCAGTTAATTATTATATTACATTGAATACTCAAGAATTAGGTTTTACACGCAAATGCATAATATTCAGTACTTGAAATGATATCGCTCTTCATAATTTATAATATCAAAATCTATTACTGTATCATTATTTGTCAAGCTGGTTCAGCAATTTAGGCTTTAAAAGAAGGAAAAATTATTATAATAATGTTGGCAAACTCCTGTTTGAAAACTTATTACAATGCATAACATGTATGGACTATGTACAGTCATCGCTAGCGTCAATGATGGCATAGTATTCCATTGTGCTACAATATATCATATAAAATCAAGGTCTTCAGTAAGGACATACAGGGATGTATTGCAATTTAATCTTTTTTATGGGATAATCGAAAAGCAAGCGACTCTTGACCGAAATTAATAAACTATCCTAAATTCAAAATATCTGGATTGATTTCTGCTTTTGACAGAAACTTCACACATTTCTTAAAAATGGATCCTAATCCACAGATTTTATTTATCCCTCTATAAACCCGCAATACAAGAGGAGTCATAAATGCGTTGCCGAACTTTTGAGGATTGAAGGGTTGAGGAAGGAAGACAGGCAGACGGAGGATTGGTCTTCTTGTACTGATGGTTGTGATCATGGCTTATTTAACCTAAAGTCATAATTGCAATAAGTCAAGTACTTGTGCTTCTACAGAAGTCTAAAATATCATGGACTAGTCAGAGCTATCTCCGACTTCTACACTTCGATGGCTCTGTCTGGCAAAACTTGTCCCGTCGCTGTTGAGAACAAAAAGTCAAGTTGCGTGTTACATTGCAATGCATTCATTGTTTGCGTGTGCACACACGCAGTTATTGTCCCAACTTGTAAAGCGGTGGGTTTATTTCCTAGGAAGTAGGATCCGAATTAATTAGAAATGTTCTCTCCTCTGCTTGCTTTACCATTAATCATTTTTATTTATTTTTTAACTTTTATTTTTACCATTAACCGTTTTTAGTCAGTAAGAGTCTGACACTCCCTTCCGCCTCACCCAGGCAGTAGCAGTCATTCGATGATTTTCCCTCTTTAAAAAAAAATTAAATAATAATTATAAAAAAAACCATTAGTCATTTAAACTACCTTTTAAACTTTTACCCTCATTACGCTAAACACACACTCCATTCGGCACGTATGATATTATTTATTTATCATACATATGTTGAGTAAACTATAAAACCAAGTGGATTATTGACATGCCCTTTGTTTATTAAATATTCACCATCCTTGATCCAATTTAAAATGCCTTTACTGACATATCTCAGTGAAATCCCACAAGCGCACGAAGCCGCGTATTGGATTAGCGCGCGTAGTTTGTGTACTGTTAGTGAAGATTGGTATCGTGATGCAAACGCACGGCAACTTGACAGCGAGCTACTTGTGGCAGCCGGGCGAGTTCGCCCGTCGCATGCTGGGGGAACGACCATCGCCCGTTCCACCGACTAGGGAACTGTGGCCTCCTCCGCAACAACCCTTGAGTATCAGCACCCTGCATATTGCTTATCTGCAAGATGAGCCTTTACCCAGACGCGCAGCGACTTTGCCTTGCCAAACGTTTCCTGCTACCATCAATGTTGAGCAGGAGTACAGCAGGCCACGAGTGTGTACCGTTGGAACTAACACCGAACCACCTCCCACTATATTCACCAGGATGAGACAGCTTATAAAACGTAGTCAAAATGAACCTGACAAGACGATCGTCCCAAGTTGTCCACCAACCGGACGTCTAACTGCTGTACCACGAGAAACCACATTCGATATAAAAGAAGATGAAAATTCGGCACGACGGGCGTTTAACGGAATAAAAAAAGCGATATCAGGAGTGAAATATCGGGTGGCTCCAGGCTCGGAGGTTGTGGATAGCCCAAAAATTGTATATCACGTGCCTAAACCTGGAGATAGGATGACGACCACTTTCGGAGCTGAAGAACGGAAACGCAGCTGGTGCAAGCTACCGTCACGAACATCGTGTTCACGACGGCTGCGAGCTTTTAGCGATTGGTGCAGACACCGCCCACGACGCCCTCCTAGGCGGCAGCCTTATGCGCCACGTCTACAAATCACGCAGGTGTGATGATGAAGAACACTCGAAATATGATCATAATTCTCGCTAAGTGCTTTATTGTGATGTTAAAATAATTCGTTGAAAAATATTAGAAGTAACCAATTAAACAATTTTATGGTATTGAACGCTAAGCGATAATAATTGTGTACGTTAGTAGAAAGATAGAGTTTTAAGTAGAGTTTTTGGCTAATAAATGTGTTTCCATAATCAGTGTTTTGTTGGCGCACGTGCGGGCGGGTGGATGCAAGGGGGTTTGGGAAGGCTGGGCGGGCGGCAGTCCCGTGTTAGGCGCCGCGTCGCCCGGTCTTACCGCCCGAATACCGAATCCCGCCCTTACAGCCTACTACGTACATAACCGATTGTATCCTGAAGCAAACCTGGTTTTACTGTTGATTGTGATTTATTTGAAAAGTTTTTAGCTGCTGAATGTGGTAAATTCAATACGAAGTGGTGTTATTACTGATGGCATAAACCGGCGCGACCCAATGCGCAAACCTCACGAATGATACCGAAAACTAGGACGAAAAAATGTTTCACGTTTTTTTGTGTATTTAATGAATTCTTCTCAAATGTCCCGTGTTATACATTCTCATTCGTACATTATGTGTTCCTACTATATTAAAATACTAATATCAAAAGGAAAGATTATCCACCAATTTTATTGGCGTAGCTAAATAAACCAATAGAGCTAATTATGTTGTTTCCCCCGTGTACACGCATTGAAAGACGTCAAATAAAATTAAAATCTACATTTTGTTGCTAATTGGTAGAATCGGTGACACTGGATTTGAATTCCATTTTATTAACATTAGAATCGAAATAACATAAAATAAGTACGTTAGTAAATAAGTAATGTAAAATAATAACAATATACAATATAATCGAATCGTTCGAGTCTCATTATTCTTCCTATTAAGGACGGAGTTAAAATATGTTTCCGATTTCTAGCAAACATTGGTTAGATTAGGATAATTTTTGTTTCTACTAAAATCGTTATAGGTAGTTTTAATAAATCTACGTAGATTTACAAACTTTAAGATTTAGCTGGCAATTTGGTTCCATTCGATCACAGTACTAATGTAATCGAAACATAGCTTGCCATTTTCACACACGTGTCCATAAACTTAATGCACCTCTGTTGAATTTGAATGATTGCCTAATTCTGATTAGGTAAATGTTATTCTACCTGCTTATTTTCATACGAATATATACCGAGAACACAATATAAAACTTCTATAGTGTCTACAAGCGTCTGAATAAAACATACATTTAAGTTGTCGGAACAAAAGCTAAGGACAGGTACCTATGTATGTAACTATGTAGCTATGTCTACGTATGTATTACTGGCTTTAACGGTGTGCTCTAGGATAACAAAAAGTTTTCCGGTACAGTCGACAGCTACTTGACATGGCGAAATATGCAACTTTCTTTTCTTCAAGTCGGTCTTATTAGTTCAATTTACGCATTTTTCTCTCAGTTTCTAAACCAAGGGTTTGTGACTCATCATTCTCACATATTACGATAATATTGCCGCTCCAAATTCATGAATACGTCAGTCAGATTATTTACGTTTCCGTTGCTTCCGGAGTAACAACCAAAAGCAACATTTTTCTAAGACAATGAATATTTATCTTGGTTTGTTTGGTTTCACTAATGAAAATAAACCTTGTTTTGGCTTTGTGCTTATGATATCAGTTTATCATATAATGGTTATTTATAGAAGCCACTTGTTCTTCAATTATCACGTCCGTTATTATAATAATTATTATTTTATTTGAATCGGTGTCTCTTGTGTGAATGAGGAGTGCTTTATCGGTTTCAATATTCTGAAGTGACGTGTTGGTTATCTATCAGCGCTGCGGAATGTTGACCGCATTTATATAAAATTTATTTTCAATTCCAAGAATGTTATGTTTAATCGAAACTGGCTGTTTTAAAGTTAAAACCCTTTAAATAATGACTATACTGACTCAATTTATTAAATCTCAGCTTGATACCTGTTCTTTTATTACAATTTTACAATCAATAGCGGGTTTTAAACCCGCTACGCTGACCTCAGTCACGTGGGTCAAATAATTAATTTCATGTTTGGAAATCAATATTTACTTCGTAATATAGTCTATACAGCAACATAAATAATACCTAGCTTCAATCTGTTTTGATTCATCCGAGTAGAGAGATAGCAGCAAATAGATACATACTGCATGTCAAATGGATACAGATTTGATTACAGATTGCATTTTATTAGTCACTAACTATGAACTAGCACTAACTAAATGGCCTAAATGGCGTATCTGCAACTGCAATACTCGAGTACGGCATTTATTTATTTATTTATTTATTAAAGGCACATCAACAGTATACATATTATACACTAGCCAAAACACAGTTGAATACAAAATAACAATTCTGATATGCATACCAGTGACAGATGTACACAACACTCACGGGATCATAAATTCCATGTACAATTATATTAGTAAAGACAAAAAAATAATCAAATATTGCATTTATAAATGTAATATGTTTATTTTATACTCTTACCAAAATGGAACTAAAACCGTTTTGGAATGGGAACAACACGAGAAGCGTAATTTTCCAAGAAGGAACACTTTTTACAAAATATATAAAATTAGGACTATAGTCTATAGTTGCCTTCGTACAATTTTCGAACTCTACATACGTTATACTCATCAATCTGTACAAAATACAATAGGTACTCGACACAGAATTCAGCGAAGGTGTACCCGTACCTGGATCACGGATGTTATTGTCCACCGCCACCGTCGCTTGCGGGTGACCCCGTTCACCACACTCTTTCCCCTAAAGCGCAGGGTTGTGGGTGTTGTGACCTAAATACGGACGAAACGATTTGGAACATAATCACGAATAGGACTAATGAAATTGACAACCTATTTACTTTAATATACCCAATAAAATCCTGTAATGTTCACTTGTTCAGGAAATATTCTAGCATAAGTATTTAAGTAATAATCATTATACGGATAAGGATCGACCTGTCTGCCAAACGCTTCAGCTCATTTATCAACACTTGGCGGGCTTCCGTGCCCGATCCCATTCAATTCTTTTCGTTGACACAATCAATCTCCTTTCAATCAGTAGTTTACTTAACCGCAGGGACAAGGAAGATTTTTCTGTATTGTGCCTGAAGCCCAATCGACACTGATTGATTGGTCCCACCGTCCCTTAGTAATAGGTTGCGTAAAATATTTTTGTATAGGTAGGCAGGTACACCGTAATTTACCATCTAATTTTGATTATAATTCGTCGTGATTTTCACGTTTTTTGATAAGAATTGAAGAAGTTGAAAATAATAAGTAAGGTCCTAGAAGGCTGATGTTGTGATTCGTATATCTTAGTATCTGAAAAGATTCAGTGTAATAGTGGTACGCGTGTGATGTGTTGAATTGTGCGCGTGTTCGCGTGCTGTGGTGGCGGGCCGGTAGCGAGCGCATGCAGGGGCGCGCGGGCGCAGGCCCGGGCGGGCTCCGCTCCAACCCGCGCGCCCTCCCACCTCCAGTTCTTCCGCCACCTCCTCAATTTGCCACTGAACAAGACGAGATGCCTGCCAATCAAATTGCCCAGGTACATATCAACAGGCTTCTCTTTTCACGAGTATAAACTTTTCGAATGGCTCCTGCAGCATGTAATGGTATAAAGTATAATCAAGAAAATACATTAAACACTGCTTTTATTAATTGTCTACAGGAAATTCAAAAATTTTGCTGTTATTATTCACTCGTTACGGAGAATTAAAGCAATGTTAAAAATGTGTTAAGACATCAAGTAATACGCTATTTTTAGTTAATCACATATCTACTTGAGAAAGGATGGCCAAAATACAAATATTTTAAATAATAATATTAGTAAGAATTTCGGACACTTTGACTTGACATACAGAAAATAGTAAGCGATTCATGCACGTTGGACATTATGTACCGCATAATGTCCATCGTGCATGAATCGAGTACTGCCTGTCTAGGCAACATATCTAGTTCTATCTAGAAATAATAATACAAATCCGCCACTTCTAGTATTTATTGGCCACTCAGCAAAGTCTCGAGATCCCTGCTCCGAGGGCGAGAGCTAAGTGGCGACTGGGATAGTGATGAGGGTGACAAATGAACCGAGTTTAAGTTCAACGGAACCATCTAAAAATATCCGCCGCTGATCAAATTTATGCTTTGCTTCTGAAATTAGTACTAATTGCAGTTTTCACGGGCACTACATTATTATAAATTTGTAGAATTTTCTTTGAACCGCTACGAGTTTGTTTCAGCTTAAGTTTCCTTTCGAAAAATCTGAGACCCTTAATGGCCCTTATAATAATAAAAAATAAAAAGCAACGCATAATTTGTAGAGACAACAACGCTTTATTTGCGTAAATCCAAACCTATATTCCAAGTAAAATTTGGTGAAAAGTTGGAACGTAGAAAACACATGTTTTTGTCCTTATATTCTAGTTATAATAAAAGGTGAAGAAAAAAAAATTGTTGACACGTTTACATTCGATGATACTTTTGAATGTACGGTACACCAACTGCGTATTGAAGTGGCGAGTATTAAGAGCAACTCAACCGGATTGGTTTGCATTGTATTGTAGTGCATATGAGAGCGGAAATTGGATTTTCGATCCCCTCTGCTACATGTACCGTGTATGAGTGTATGCGTTCCACTTTATTTTTATTTGCCTCCGGCGTCACCTAAATTAGACAAGCTTACTCACAAGCAATAAAATTAAGTAACTCAATCAAAACTGAGTTCTTTATGAAAGTTTTTATTTTTAAGCAGTTTTCTGCAGAAAACTGCTGATTAAATTGTCCAATAAAATTGTCAACACAGCATTAAGTATTGCATTGTGCTTCCCCCCTTTTCAAATGACCGGAAGGACCGAATGTGTACTCGTTCGCTTTTAATTTAATGAATGAAATCCCTCTTGATGACGGATGTTTCCGCCTGGGAGAGGAGTAGATTAATAGACACATTTGACCCCTTTGATACGATGCAAAGGACACTTTTCAAGACGTGATCATTGTATTGACAAACTGAATTGTCGCTGTCGGTCAATGGCCTGTAGGAATATAATAAAACACCTATATTAAACTGCCACAGATGCTACCATGTGGAAGGTTTTATAAGTCACGCAGCCAGATTTAAGCTTAGTTGCACCACAGAAAGTAGTTTAGTATTAGTTTGTGTTAAATTTAGAGAATTTCAGTCCACTGAAGGCACTGGACAGAAATTCTCAATTTTTTTTTGAAATCATGTTAAAACCTTATTAGGTTTTATGATAATTTTGATGAATAAAGGTTATTTAAAAAAAATATGTTTTTGGCGCTGTCATCAGTGTAACTCTGATTGTAGCAGAGGAGCTGCCATGATTTTTTAGGACCTTTGCTACTAATAAATTATGTACACACATACGGCTACACATCGAGCTTTACATAACCAGTATAAACTGAACGTTAAATGTGCGGAAAGATGATGCGACGCGACACCAGGATAAACTGGTTTTGTATAGATTAATGTGTGGCCGTGTGTACCTATTCGTGATATATCACTATAATTAATATTCGCTTTCATTCAAGAATATTCGGATATTTTTTGACATTGACATTCGCGTTCGCAAATATCAAACATATGATATTCGTTACATTACTAATACCAGTAATACCTATGCACTTTTAGAATAAAGTCCGTGTCAGTAAAACGAGTCTCAGTCATCGCGCGACCGTTGCAGTCAGTGTATAAGCACATCAAGTCAAATTACTTTTGGCGGCTTTCACGTGCTGTTACTCTTGACTGCAACGGTAGTTAGTACGGCTGACGCTCACTGCCCATAATTATCCTTAAAAAAAGGTAGAACTATTACTTATGAAGTTTTCAGTCGTATCTGTTATACATATTGTCTGGACTTAAAAGAGACAGACCTCTGAGTTTGTTTCGGCATTTCTTCTCAGAGTAGTCAGTTAGGAAATGTCGACCTCATCGTTCGCTTGATAAAATTGACGTGTAAAAGTGCTGCCTTGTAGCCTATTTGCAGAAATAAATTCACTTGTTTCACTTGTAGCAAAATGGGTTTTGCAAACTAGGGTGACCTCCTCCACTATTTGAATTTGATATGTTATTGGGTAAAAGTCTACTTGCCGTATACGTTTTATCTATTAATACTAGTAAGATCATTTCTGTGAGTATTTGTTGTAACAGGGACGCATGTCCCTGTTACAACCCTGTCCCTGTCCAGAGTCCCTGTTCAGAGTTTCAGAGATTATCTTCAACGCGTTTGACAATTGGACAGATGCATATTTGACACTAACTTTAACATTAACCAGAGAAAAGTGAGCTGCTTGCTACAGCATACAGTTATAGTTACAAGTTATGACGTCATTTAATTATTTGTCAATTGGTGCAACTCAGTTTACTTAGTTAACGCCTTAGTTTACTTTATGATTACAAAAAAGGGTGTCGTGTAGACAGACGAGACTAAAATGGTTGACAACAATGGTGAAAACGACGGGGTAGTAAAAGTACGTTGGCGTCGTATGCAATACGTACTTATCTTTAAAACTCTTGAGGCAATAGAGGAGGTATAAGGAGGCGTCGCGTGAAGTGTGCTTGGGGAGTCCGAGAAGCGGATCGTCGCCGTCTCTAACAGCTGATGGCGGTCCCCGCGGCCCCGAGCGCCGCCGTCGGGGATTGCGATCGATGACCGCACCCCGCGCGCCGCCCTCACCTCTAGACACCGTCGGACGGGTGCGTCTCACTTTCCCGCTTTTCTTTCCTTCGAACATGTATAGGTAGAGGTACCCACTTTGACGCACACCCATGCCGCGTGTTTTGACTTCTATTTATTGCGTTTCATTTGAACCGCCCGTGGGTAGGTAATTTTACTCCGTGAATAATTGATGCCACCGTAGTAGGTATAATTTATTTATCTAATGATTTTTGGTTATGTTTATAGTTCGCCTCTTCTTGGCACATCTTTCTAACATGGCATTGTATTATCGAAAAATATTTGGTATCGATGTTTGCAACACTAGCAACGTATTGCTTGGAACTTAAATGCGGTTTACCCAATACCCATGTATTTACTTTCTGATTTAAAGACGTTTTTTATTACTTGAATATTTTTTTCTGAGCACTATAATATATTATTTTACAGTATTGGTAGACGTACCACTATCTACCTACACGTATCACTGACACAAGGTAACGAGTGTGTTATAAATCTTCAAAAAATATTAACTTTGGGAAACTGCTAAAACTATCGAAATGTTGATTCTCCGTCTGGTCGCAACCCTAGCCTAGACAGTAGACATGCTATTTATAGCATCGGCGATTGATTATTAGTTAGTTTTCGTTAGCTGGGTGCCTTTTGTTGATGCATTTTTATGGATTCTGACCTATAATAATTAATAATAGAAATATTTCGATTTAATAGAGGATGAAAATTGTTGCTAATTCTACTTCATAAATTAGTTGTACTCCGATGCTGGTACAAATAAAAAAATACATACAGCTTTTTTGAAGTCTTTTTTTTAAGGGGGGAAAATCATCGAATAGTGCTCCCGCCTGAGTGAGGCGGGAGACAGTGTCAGACTCTTACTGACTAAAAACTACCCCGTTCCTTCTCCTGCACGTCGAGCCGAAGCCCCGGTAACCCGTTAGGTTCTCCGCAACTTTTTTGAAGTCTAAGGGTTTAACTTGCCAGCTTTTGACAATGTTATCAGCAATAGGCTCATTCTCTATTACATGGGACTCATAACATAAATTGTGAAAAGTGGGTGTTAAATTGTACAGTGGCATTGTGCCGTAATGTACCCCTTCGGGGATAAAAGGCGTGATGTTATGTTATGCTTTTGATAATGTCGGTTGATAGTGTTTTAAATGAGTTAGTTTTAAAGGTCCACCTTTTGTAATTTAGTAAATTGTACCTAAGTAAAACTCTGTCATAAAACTGTTGAAGGCAAATTCTTCATTTACACTGGTCACCAGTGTAAGAAACTTACTTTTTAGATTTGATTTTTTACTTGCAATAATACAAAAAAACAAAATTTTGCATTTCTTATTCTAAGTGGGTGGTATGTTTCGTTTCAGGTGATCGCGCTCATATGCGGCTTGTTAGTAGTGATTCTGATGGTACTGGGTCTGGCGTCGGCCGACTGGCTGATGGCTGCCGGCTGGAGACAGGGCCTCTTCATGCACTGTATAGACCCTGAAGCACCCACGCCCTTGCCCTTCGATATAACTGCACAGCCCGGCTGCTATGCTGCTAGACCCGCGCCTTATATTAAGTAAGTAATATTATTTTTAAGCTTTACACCAATTACACCCGTAACTTTGCACTACTCAAAACTTACAACTTTCCTTAGGAATCGAATCTATTCATTCATCAATTAAAACCTCATAAGAATCGATTCTGTAGATCAATTTATTTTGGACTCCTCTATCTTTTCACGATCTTCACGTCTGCGTAAAGTCTGCTCTAAAATGTTAAATAAACCATTTTTTTCACGCAGATTTTTAAGGGTTATAGCTAGATCAAATGGCGTGACTGGCTACATACCATGGCTAGATGACAATTATTAAATTCGTTTCGGAACCATAAAGACAAAAGTGATAACATTAATTCAAATGTACAAGTTATCAATATTTCTTAATCTTGTCGTTTATGGCCTCGTGACAGGCAAAGTCTGTACCTCTAGATACGGAAAGCTATAAGTAGCTTTTCCAATAAATAGAGGCACATCATAGAAATTGTAAATTATGGCGGTATTGATGTGAATAGATCCCTTTCAATACACTCATAGCAATTTAGGTGATTTAGTGGCATTCAAAGGTTAAATAGTTCCGACTGTCTAGTTTTACTCTGACCTCTCTTTTTTTGCTAGTTTTTCATGGAATACGATTATTAGTATTAATACCTAGATCTTTCATGAAAATCTTGTACCAAATAATTTTATTGTTTGGTTTACTCATCCATACTGTTTAAAGTCGATAAGTACCGACAAGGCTCGGATACAAAATTTACGGCTCTGGTGTGGTTTGAAACGAATCGGGCATACTCGAAACTTGTCAATAATAAACAAATGATTTCGGTTAGATTAGGTTCTTAGGAGATCGTGATCTGATTGAAAAAGAGTAACCATGGAGTTTCTTGCTCGTTCTTCTCCATAGGAATCTACGCCTTGGAATGAGCAACTAGCTTCACTTATAAATTTTTGTTGTTTGACGTTCAAAAGTGCCATCCTGGTCTAATTGAAATAAATGATTTTGACTTGACTTTGAAATCGTGGGGTTCTTAGGAGGCCTTAGGAGGATGATTCACAGTGCTTGCTATTTCTGACAATCCACTGTTAGACTATTTTTATTTATTTTCACTTTGTTTTCCCCAGATAAGGGAGCTCCATGAGCGTTTTCTGCTTTAGGGTTAAAAGAGAGTGCTTCTTAAATGTGTTTACTATAAAAAAATCTATGTTCTTTCTCAGAGCGGCAGCCGGGCTGTGCGTGGCGACATTGGCAGCAGATGTCTGTGGCGCCCTTCTGACAGGGTTGGGTCTTCGGTCGGCAGACCACCGCACCAAGTTCCGATACTATCGGTTCGCCGTGCTCGCTATGTCGCTAGCCCGTAAGTTACTATTATTTTCTATGTTGTTCCGCACTAGGATTTTTACAAGGTCTTACCGCTAGATTGTTCGGCATATTTTTATTTTAATATTTCAAAGGTACTTTGATCACTTGACAATATGTGACAGTCGTGCATTTTTTATGAAATACTTTTCAAATCAAATCAAATCACTTTTATTTTTTAACATAGGTGCATACAGATATAGGTATATTTTTCAACATATAGGTACATTTTGTAAGAATTATCTTTTAAATGAAAGTTATTTGAGAGCTTTTTTATTTCAATATTAACTACACATGTTCTACACATTACAATAATTTCTTTTGTTTGTTTCAGTCATGTGCATTTTAATAGCGTTAGTGATCTACCCGGTCTGCTTCGCTGCGGAGTTGAACCTGGGTGAGTTTTTATTTTATTAAAGTACGGCAGTTTTGTGTAAGCCTAAGGTGATTATAATATTTTGCATTTATATTCCAATGTGTCCGTTACCCAGGCCAGATATTGTCGAAAATGGTCATTTGAATCTTATACATAATTAGTTTTGAGGCTTCTGTAATTGTTGCACACATTTTTAAATTTGTTGTTTTTTAATTATTTCACACAAACATTTCCTGCTGGGGTAACGTTACCCCAGCCAGACATTTTTCTTTCTTATGGGAATATTTAAATAATTACTAGCTATAAAACTAATTGTCTAGATGAAGTAAATGTTGTGCCTTACTTTGTATTTGTTCTTTCAGTGGTTGCGAAGTCATTATTATGCTGGGGTAACGTTTTTGGTTTTGAAATGGTTAAGCGGATTCTTGTTACATTTTGTACATGGCTTCTTAGAAATTAGTTTAAATTAGTTCTGCAATAAAAAAACCAAAGTAATACATAGCTTTTCGCCTTTTCGTAACCACCTAAACTTGGTCGAGTTAAACACCTAAAATAAGACACAGCATTTACTTCATCTAGACAACTAATTTTATTGCTAGTAAATTTTTAAATATTCCCATTAGAAAGAGAATGGTCTGGCTGGGGTAACGTTACCCCAGCAGGAAATGTTTTTGTGAAATAATTTAAAAACGTGCGCAACAATTACAGAAACCGCAAAACTAATTATCTGTAAGATTCAAATGACCATTTTCGACAACATCTGGCCTGGGTAACGCATACTATTCCAATCAAGAAGATTGTAGAAAGAGCGAACGAAAATTTTTCGTAAGTTGTAAAAAGTATATCAGCGGATTTATACAAGTGCTGAGCAAAACCTCTTCTCACACGAAGACACATTTATCACCACACCTGCTGAAGACGGGGTTGGTTTGTAACAATATGATATATCTTTTGAAGATAACAAACATTCAGAAATGATAAATTACTTTTATTGATATTTTACGATATAATTTGCAAACTTTGGAGTGAGGCAAGCGAGCGATCTCAGTAATTTATCGTGAATCGTACGTAATGTCTTATTGAAGTACATTTTATTATTACATTCAACTTTTCCCATTCTCTTCGGTTTCGAACAGTTGAAGTTCAGAGAAGTTTTGTATGCCACAGGGACTCGAATGTAATGAACGAATTTTGTAAATGTCTTTTTCAGTTTGAAAGGTTTGTGCTCATGTTTTAGGCCTAAAAGTTACATTTATTGATAATCTGTGCACTTTTATATAGTATACATTATGTTTATATTGTTCAGTAAGACTGTACGGAATGTATCTATTAATTTTTAAACCTTTGACTGCCGACAGAAAACTGTTGAAGGCAAATCCTCCGCTAACGTAGGTCTACGGTAACCGACACGGCGGTTAACGTGTTAGGTTGCAGTGTCTTTTCACAGTTTACTTATTGTGACCATTCTCTAGAGAATTTTGACTCATGTTAAGTCCAAATAATCCAGATTTTATCCTGTCCTTGAGTCATCATAATGATATCCTATTCTTAACTTTTATATATATTTAGTGTCGATTTTGTTCTAATGTTAAGTTTGTATACAGGTAATAGATCGGTTTGGGAATTTGGCTGGGCGTACGGTGTTGGCTGGGGCGCCGCCATCTTCCTGTTCGGTGCCGTCGTCTTGTTACTCTGTGACAAGGAGAGCGAGGAGCTCTACTACAAGGAGCGGAAAGTGAGTTTTGACACTTTACTACACATTTTCAGTGTTAAAATTTCAATACGTCAGTTTATTTTAATTTACTTGTAATCACAATTTAACATGAACCATCTGACAGTTTGTGAATTGGCTTAGTAGCTTAGATATGAAAGCATAACAGACGGACTGTTATTATCGCATTTAAGACAAATTTTCACAGCTCAAAGCTTTAAGCAATTTAATTAAAACTTAATCAGTCCATTTCATTTCTCATTTATTAGGTTTATCTAAGGCTTCTTCAAGTAACCGTTTGACGAGGACACTCGCCTATATGAACGTCTAACGTGGCCTGAAACTAGTCGAGTTGTGTTGTTATGTTACGTTTTTGCTTAGTGTATATTATTTTACTTATTGCATTTCTCTTTTGTTGCAGGTGGTGAGCGCGGAGCCGGGCGCGCGCCCCTAGGGCCGCGGGCGCCTGCCCGACCTGGTGCCGTGAGGCGCGCGCTAGCGGCCCCGGCCGCTGGGTCTAGCCGCGCCACTCTAGCCCGCCCACACCACCCACCACGTCATGCCGACCTACCCAACCGCTCACTCTTGAACTAACACACGACGCTTAACATCACTATCTACGAACACCAGTCCACCAGCAGTGTTGCATTTTCAACGCTGAGCTTTGGCCATTAAAGACTAAATTACAATTTAGTCTATTTTATATTTCAACGAGACGTTAAAAAACTAGATGCGATGACTCGTGCGATTGGTGCATTAGGGTTTGCACGATGGTTTTAATCGTACATAACCGACGAGCAAGTCCTTATGTGACAAAACAAAACAGTTATCAGTATAATGTGTATGGCTGCATTTATTGAATCACAAGTTTGAAGTTGACGAAGTTGACACAAGTTCCATAGAATATGTGTCAACAGTTAATCTTTTGCAGTTAAATCTAGTTTCAGGATATTTGTAGATAGTGATGATAAACCACGGTTTAAGTGTGAGCTGTTTGATAAAGGTAGTAGCCTGGGTGACGTGACTGCGACCATGTCAGGTCGAGCCCACATGAAGTCGTACTCACGTCACTCAGTGCCGGGGAAGCGACTTGTCGATGCTATATCGGACTCATCGCAATACTAGCGACTGTCCCGTTGTTTTTGTTGTTCCAAGATATCATAGTACTTGACTGTCCAAATTAAATTATAATTATATATCGCGTTAATTGCGAGTCGTACTAAATTTGTACTGTAAATTAAAAACTTGTTATTTATAGAGCAATGGTAAATAATAGAAAAACAATACTTCGTCGGCCATTACCAGTGTAAGTGCTATGATTCTTTTGTAGATTCTTAGTTTGTATTAATTTATATTATTATAGTTTCCTTTGTAGTGTTAGTATGACTTACCTCGGTTGATTATTTTTATTTTGTAGTATTTTGTTGATTCGTAATTTTTATTTTGATTGGTAACAGAAACGATAAGATCTGAAAGCGAGAGATTAACTAAAATCTACTTAATAAGTGAGAATCGCCTTATTCGGGATATATTTTTGTGATTTTTTTATTTTTTTAAGTGTGGTATTATAATTTGGCGCCTCGTGATGAGCGGACCACATTCAGACCGTGTGTGTACTGGTGTATGTACCTCGAATGTAATCCGTTCCAAAGAGCGTTAGTATTAGTTTGGTAGAACGTGTCGCTGAGTGGACGTGTGGCGGGGGGGCGCGGGGCGCGGGCCGCGGGCACAGGGCAGGCGACCCTCGGGAGTGTGGCCGTGTGACGGACGACTAGTGTATGTACTGTATGTGACTACGTGTGGCGGTGGCCGACACCGTCGCCGCCGCGATATCGGACTATGACTACTCACGTATTTAAAGGAATTAAATATATGTTTTGATTAAAGTTACCCTTAGTATCGTATTATACCTACTTCATATTTGAAAACTATTTTATTAACGATTATATAAATAGGAATCATGTGAGCCGTACGATGTACGCAGGACGCAGATTGATTGAGATTAATTTCGATTGTATTAGTGATGTCTAGAATCTCGTTGGTTTTACTATTTTGTAAATCTCAAAGTTTGGAATTGAAGATTATTTAAAAATTATATTTTCTTAATATTTATGTAAACGTAATGGAACAATTAATTGACGAGTAAAATTCGTAATAATTATAAAATAGTGGTAATTATATGTGTAAGTGTAATATTTGTGGACATTGTAATAATGGCATGCCATGTGTGTTTGTCTAACAATGCGAAGTTGCAGCTTCGTATTTATTTTATTGTCGAATATTCTTGGTCAAGGCTTTAATTTTTAACGTATTTTATTGGTCAATGCATAAATCAATGTTTTATTCCTAAAACGTAATATAAACGCACGACTTCCTATTAATTTTGTGCAAAATGTAAGAATATCTTTTTATAACTAATTTTGTATTGTAAAGGTCTGGCTAGCGGAAACTGTCTAATTAGTTTTATAAAATTGTTTATTGTGATAAAATGCAGCTATTTGTAATCGTTGATGTGATCGATTGAGGCTTTGCATTATTCGTGTTTTCATATCGCGAGCGCTGCAGCTTGTGCGCTTGACGAAGATTTCGATTTATCCACATATTCACCCAGTCGACCGAAACTCTTCATTGTAATAATGATTCATATATTTACATACTTCCAATTACAGTATAATAAATGTAGCTAACTTGAACTTTCCCTTCGCGAAACCCGTTATTCGCTCTTAGTCACTACTTTTTAAGAAACACGAAATTCTCAACGTAATTATATTAACAAATTGAGTTATTTTCGAGCTCCCTTAAAATTTTGACATGTAAAATCTACTAATCATTTTTATACACTAAGCTTTACTTTAGAATTATGTCAGATTTTATTTAAGTACAAGGCTAAACTAGATTTAAGTTTTTATAGCAATAATTGTTGCTCTCATCATTAGTCCGTTAAATATGAATAAATATTTAATAAATCCACACTGCCATGTAACAATTAACTTACATTTCTTTGTAAGTCATATTAATTTTACTGTAGTCATAATAAATAACATTAAATTATTGAAACTTCCTAATATAAGTGTACATTTTACATAGAAATGATAACCCCTTGTAATTGATATTGAATTACATTAGCTACTTAATTTTATGCACCTCGAACGTACTTGGACATGCTTATGATCTATATAAAATAATATAGAAAATGTAATTGTTACACTATATGCATCTGTTTGTGCAATTAAGGTACCCGTTAATTAATCCAGTGAATGAACTTTTACTAAATTAATATCAAAACATTTATTTGACCTATAAAGTGTTTCCTTATTTCATGCAAATTATTATTTGACGAAATATTCTATAGCTTATAAACTCGGCTGTCCAAGTACATCAGTTATATAACATTACAATTTTCTTAGCCAAATTATGAGTCATATCAAATGAGATTGAATAAAGTAACTAGTAAAAATTGTGTGTATATTATTTTATTATCCATTATTAAACCATTTATGATGGTGATGGTCTACCCTGCGTGCATTAGTCAAGATATGTTTAAGGTTTTACAAATGGGCCTACTCAATCCAAGATCGCGCCCACCCTGTCCTAGTTAACACGTCTTTAGTGAGGCTGTGTATATGGGGTCGGGGGTAACGAAAATCTCGTTATTTTTCAGCTACAGCCACAAAATTTTTAGATTTTCTAGATTTTTGATATTAAAAATTATTATTATTCAATAAGTGGTAATGGTCGAGGCTGCGTCCGTTACCCAGGCCAGATGTAGTCGAAAATGGTCATTTGAATCTTATAGGTTTTGCGGCTTCTGTAATTGTTGCGCACATTTTCAAATTTGTTGCGCTTATAGTTTGTAAATTATTTCACAAACACATTTCCTGCTGGGGTAACGTTACCCCAGCCAGACCTTTTTCTCCCAAAAGGAATATTTAAATAATTACTAGCTATTAAATTAGTTGCCTAGATGAAGTAAATGTTGTGCCTTATTTTGTATTTGTTCCTTCATCGGTTGCGAAGTTATTCGAGATTTTGGTGGGGTAACGTTTTTGGTTTTGCTAGATCTTTGGAACGGTTAAGCGGATACTTATCATATCTTGTACATGGCTTCTTATGATTTAGTTTTAAATTTGTTCTGCAATAAAAACCAAAATAATACATAGCTTAAAGGTCATTTCATTAATAATAAAAAAACATTTCAATTGGTCCTAGCACTCTCAATAAGAGCTCTAAAGACTTACTTTAAACGTTATTTTAACGCTTGTAACTGCCTATATGATGTTATGTGTGAAGTTTCATTAGTATCCTGTAAGTATTTAACAAGTTATGATGATATTGAGTTCTTCACGAGCACGGTCTTGATACGCACGGTGTTATTTGGCCACTGGATTGGATATATGAACTGAATGTTATGTCAATTACATATTAGTTGTTTCAGTTGTATATCAGTAAAATTTCAACTTAATACATTGGATAATCAATGAGATAATACGATTAAAGTCATTAGGAAGTGAATGAACGTGGTAACCCGACCAAGTTAAGGTGGTTACGCGCCCGGTGTGTCCTTCGCGATGGCTGGGTTGCGAGGAGGTGGCAAAATATGTAGGATAGTGTTACAAAATAAGGACTGCCTCGTTGGCCGAGTGGTTACAAGTGCGACTTCCCCGAGTGTCCCCGAGTCGGCAGGTCGGGCAAAGTAATACAGGGTTTTAAAAAAATCTCAGTAGTAGCACGGAGTCCGGAATTGTGCCCGGTATGTACACATTTAGTTTTTATTTAAATATACACATATTGGTCTGTGTAATGATCACAGACGATAAATAATATACAATGTATTTTTTCATTTTACATTAAACTTACGGTGCGTACAGACTATATAACATAACGCGCACTCTACAAGATGATTTATGTGATTACGGAACATGGTTAGTGCGATATGCAAACGTGTGCATTACCCAGGCCAGATATTGTCGAAAATGGTCATTTGAATCTTATAGATAACTAGCTGACCCAGTTAACTTCGTACCGCCTAAAATTGGTTTCTCACCTTTTAAACTTTCCTTGGACTTCCACGAACATTTCAGGACCAAAATTAGCCAAATCGGTTCAGCTGATCTAGACTTTTAGCGAGACTAACGAACGGGGTAATCATTTTCATTTATAAAGATTAGTTGTGCGGCTTCTGTAATTGTTGCGCACATTTTTTAATTTGTTGCGCTTAGTTTTTTAATTATTTCACAAAAACATTTCCTGCTGGGGTAACGTTACTCCAGCCAGACCTTTTTCTTTCTAATGGGAATATTTAAATAATTACTAGCTATAAAATTAGTTGTCTAGATGAAGTAAATGTTGCGCCTTGTTTTGTATCTGTTTTTTCATCGGTTTCGAAGTTATTCGAGATTTTGCTGGGGTAACGTTTTTGATTTTGCTAGATCTTTGAAATGGTTTAGCGGATTCTTATCATATTTGGTACATGGCTTGTTATTAATTAGTTCAAATTTGTTCTGCAATAAAGAACCAAAATAATAAATAGGTTATAAGTTATTTCATTAAATAGAAAAACACTTCAATTGGCCCCAGCACTCTCAATAAGAGCTCTAAAGAGTTACTTTAAACGTTATTATCGTTACCCCAGCAAAAACCCCACCAAAAACGTAACCCCAGCAAAATCTCGAATAATTTCTTATCCGATGAAAGAACAAATACAAAATAAGACACAACATTTACTTTATCTAGACAACTAAAATTTTATAGCTAGAAATTATTTAAATATTCCCATTAGAAAGAAAAAGGTCTGGCTAGGGTAACGTTACCCCAGCAGGAAATGTTTTTTGTGAAATAATTTAAAAAACTATAAGCGCAACAAATTTATAAATGTGTGCAACAATTACAGAAGCCGTTTTCGACAACATCTGGCCTGGATAATGCACACGTCGAGGTTGGCGTGTGTGAAACATTATTCCGGATCTAGGTGTATGTGTGTTTTTCTGCACAAAATAAAAAACCAGTGGGGTAAGGATTTCTTTAAAATAAAAATCAAGAAGTAAAAAAACTTAAGATTTATTTGACATAATAGTTGAGGAATAACACTAGGAGAATTTTACAATACAAGATAATAGTAATATCATCCATTAAAAAATTACATTACATGATCAATTTAATTAATCATATCTTCAGGTGGATTATTAGTTTGACATTTCTTAATTTAATTAACACACTATGATACTAAAAAATAAAGTAAAAAGAACCTAAACTTCGACTCCAGAGAGTGTCTTTATGCTTGCGATTAATTTTTTGTTGGCGTCTTTGTAATCTACTGGTTGTACGTTAATTACTGTTGTTTTCAGACGGGCTTCATCCTGTAAAATAAATGGTTTGTGAGTTAATAATGACATTTTGAATTATTTATTAATGTATGCATAAAAATACAAAAGTTCAGTTTATGTTTTTGGGATTTATAATATTAGATTTTTAATATATAGAATTCTGCTTAAGATTATTCAGTTCAGTTAAATTAGAATCAAGCATCAAGCAAATACATGTAAATTAAGTAAAAAGTACACAGCAACATCTTACGTTGTATGTCTCCATTTTGGTGCGGAACTTGAACACGAAGGTCTTAAATTTGACTTCTTCAAACATTTGAGTGTAGCCAGTCTTGTCGTATTCGAACAAGCGTCCGATTTCCGCGACGTTTTTACCGAGAATCGCCTCCGCAGCCTCGTTAAAGGCGGTTATACGCTGATCGCCAGTTGCATCTGATACGTTAGCCTGTGACAAAGGTAATAAATATTACTGACAAGCGAAGTTTAATAGAATTGTTTGCTTCGTTTTCGCGCTAAAAAGTATTTAATCAATAAGGTAGAATGCAAGTAAGCAAGGTACAAGTCATAGAGTAAATATTGACGCTATCAAGAACATAACTTTTTTTTTATATAACTTACCGCCAATAAAAGCCTGTATTTAAAGTTAGGGTACTCTCTGTTGCATTTTTCACATCTGTACAATCCATTTTCTTGGTCGACGAGTTTCTTGTTGCATTGTTCTTGGGGACACGCCTTGTACACTGCGTTGTCAGCGAACGTGAATGTAAGTACTCCGAGGAGACTGAAATAATCGCCTTTGTCACCAGACCCGAGTTGACGAGCCTCAGCGTCAGAGAAGGTGATCCATTCGTTACTGCCGCCTGTATAGCCTCCAACTCTGTAACGTGCAAAAATAGACAGTTTTTAGTACAGTGTAGGGTAATAGTGTTAGTGACAATAGTTAACACACCATTTTATGTCTTAAAGGTTGCATAGAAATAATTTGCTAACCATAACCAATACCGCGTAAGGCACTTAAAGCACACTTTGCAATATCTTTTTAAGATTACATAAAATTAGTTGCTGAATATGGTTTAGCAGAACTTGCATATAACACAATTTTTAAATACTAAAATTAATACAGTTGATAACTTACCTGGCAGAAATATTATTAATCTCCATGTCGGCCCCACCATTGTCGTACCAGCCTCGTAACTTGTGTGCTTCCGGGAGATCAGGGTTCTGTCTAATCATGGAGCTCGCTAGACAGGATAGGGACTTGCTACCGTTGAACTCGGATAGACGCGCACCCTAGAACGTAAATTACAGACTTATTAACATTCAACTTCATCAGTAAAAACATTTCCTGTTGGGGTAACGTTACCCCAGCCATACCTTTTTCTTTCTAATGGGAATATTTAAATAATTACTATTTATAAAATTAGTTGTCTAGATGAAGTAAATGTTGTATATGTTGTTTTGCTTTTTCGTAACCACCTAAACTTGGTCGGGTTACCACGGTCATTCACTTCCTAATGACTTATATTCGTATTATCTCATTAATTATCCAATGCACTGAGCTAAAATTTTACTGATATACAACTGAATGAAACAACTAATAATTGACATAACATTCAGTTCATATATCCAATCCAGTGGCCAAATAACACCGCGCGCATCAAGACCGTGCTCGTGAAGAACTCAATATCGTCATAACTTGTTAAATACTTACAGGATACTAATGAAACTTCACATACATTTGAAAGCAGTTTTTTTTAAGGGTCATCATCCAATGACTTCTCGCATCTCGCTTCTCTAATTTGAAGGCAGTTACAAGCTTTAAAATAACGTTTAAAGTAAGTCTTTAGAATATCTCCTATTTGTAAGAACAAGTCTAATAATATCACTACTCCTCATCACTCCACATCACTAAACCTCATTCAGAAAAATAAAGAGGCTTCAAGAAACAAATAAGATAACACGTAATAGGCTTAGAGCTCTTATTGACAGTGCTGGGAGCAATTGAAGTGTTTTTTTAATGTAATGAAATAACTTTTAAGCTATGTATTATTTTGGATTTTTTATTGCAGAACAAATTTAAACTAATTCCTAAGAAGCCATGTACAAAATATGATTACAATCCGCTTAA